GTCCTTTGTCCGAGTTCGGAGACCCCGGCCACCCATATAAACCATACGTCTCCGATCCCGGAGCCCCCGGCAGGAAGTGGTCAACTCTGCAACTTTGTGAGCCGCAACAAGCACAGTACCTAGTGACGCCATTTCTGATAGCGATGAGGTATACTACCCAGAGATTAAGCATTCGCTGGATGACGGGGAGGATCCTTGTCCCTGTAACTCTGATACAGTCAAGGAAATAAGTAAAATACCAAGCACTGCTATGACAGCGATGAGGGAGCCAACCTGAAAATTCGGCATCGGCTGTATAACAGGGAGGCCCCATACATTGCTACTCCTAATAACGCAGGGCCAAATTGTGCGCAGGGCTCTGCCCCTGTTATAATGAAATTCTCGCCAATATCTTATTGAACTGATAATCCTATAGATCAATCTATGTTTACAAAATATTCCTGTCAACAATTGAAAAAGTTTCAACTTAAGGATCCGAACTTAGGTACTTGTTAGAATGGTGTGAAAAATCTGAACTCCATGGTACCAAGTACATACCCTCACAAGATACATTAGAAATATGTGCACCTGCAGTGAAATATTTTTGGTCAAATGCCACCTTCTTCAGTTATCAGACGGTATCCTCTACTACCGTTGGGTTGATCATCATTTCAGTAGATTACTTTTCTTAGTCGCTACTTCTTTGAGACAGGAGATACTCACCCTTTGTCATGACTCAAAAATGGCCGGACACCCCGGAATGACCAAAACCTTACAGAAGTTACAACAGTGTATTGGTACCAAATGAAGGAAGATGTCACCCTTTTTGTTAAGTCGTGCAAAGAGCGCAACACATACAAAAAACCACTAAGGATAGCCAGAACCCCCTTAACTAAATATCATGCAGGAGCTGCAGCTGAACGTATACATTTAGATATTCTACGTCCGTTTACACCATCATCATCTGGAAATCAAAATATATTGATGTTAGTTTGCCAGTTCACCAAGTGGGTCGAAGCCTACCCACTGGCCTGTCAAACAGCAGAAATTATTGGAAGAGCAACTATACATAACTTTATATTGCGATTCGGCTGCCCATTACAAATACACTCTGATCAAGGGAGCAACTGTTCACAGCAGTGTGTGATGTACTAAAAATTGCAAAAACCAGAACAACGCTTTACCGTCCCGCGTCAACAGCCAGGTAGAAACATACATGTATAACAGGACTATTTTGCAAACAATAAGATGTCACTTGAAGGGAAAGGTCTTAAATTGGGATGAAGACTTATCAATACTTCCTGGGGCCATTCGCTCCATCCCAAATTGTAGCACAGGTACCGGTATGACTTCTAACTTGATGATGCTAGGGAAATCCAGAACATCGTTAAGTGGCAGGGAAGATACCCCTCAACAGGCTTCTCCTAGAGACAGATGCACCCTACTCTGTACCGTAGGTCATGCACAGCTCTACTAAAATAAGCAACCCAACACTGGCCAAAGAAGTAGTGACGAAAGTAGCAACTATCCATGCACTGGACAAACAATGTATTTTGGGAAAATGCCCATGAAACACAAGGGAAATATACGAAAAAAATTCTAGTTTTTAGTGATCATTTAAAATTTTCAGCATGTTTTCTTTAATACTTGAATAATAGCATGCAAAGATTTACAGAGAGTGAATAATATGTAACCATTTGAGATATCTAAAGACTAAAGTGTACTGGAAAGAAAATATTATTTGAAAGGGAAAAGAAATTAAAATTGAACTGACAGTTTCTAAAAGAATGGAAAAGCCAAAACCTAAACGCCAAAACCTCGATGAACTGCAGAAGGAATAAGAAATAAAGGGTGAAAATCGTAGTTGTGTAAAAAAAGAAATTATAATAGCCAAAATTTCTAAGTTTAACAAAGAGGCCATTCGGAAGCAAACAAAGAAGGAATAAATTACGTGGAATTGAGATGAGTTTTAAGACAATGGCATGCTAATGTGCAAATTAACAAAGTCGAGTAAATCTTGGAACTTATTATGGATTAAAGCATAATAATAATTTAAGCTGAAGAAATGATTGATTATCAGAGTTCATTTCAGGGTATTTGAGAAATATGTGAATAAATAAAAAAATAAATAGAATAAAACGGGAAGGAATGTAGTGAATAAAGGCACTGATCCATGACCTGGCTGGTTGTCAAGTTCCACACGCAGCCAGGCTAGAGTCACTCTTGTGAGAAGAACCAAGCAGTGAACATGTAGTTGTCTAGTCTGTGTGCTCACACCGGCCACCTGCCGTATTCGCCGGTAAGATTGACGAATACTACAATATGACTAAGTTTAATCCATCCCTGTTGGTCAAGAGTATGTATGTCGTGTGGTACCCAGAAAGCCCCACCCCCATGCCAAGTCCATATGTGGAGATTCTTCTGGATAACTTACACAAGAATATACATAAAATGGACGGGGGGTGTTCGGGAAAATCATTGAAAATTTATCCTATATGAATTTCTTTTGACTCTCTGACTAAAAAAAGGTATTTATGAATGGGAATAAATATGTGCTGACTGGGCATTAGTCATGTCTATTCTCCAGATGTTTGAGACTGGCCAAGCACATACTGGAATTTCTTCCCTTATACATGTAAGTACACTTTGATATCAACTGAAGTTACCTTTCACCACTTTTACATTAAACTCTTTGGCAATTTTCAGTAGCTAATGGTAATTGTTTCTTTATGAGTTTTTAAAATGGCTTTCCTAAGATCCTTTAGCTTAGATATAGTCTGGACAAATACAATTTGATTGTTTAGATATGTCCGGTGGCAGAATGTTGGAGTATTTTACACACTCTTGCAACACATTCTACATCATAAATGTATGTACATGTAATACCCTCTTGCCAACAGTCTCACCATCTTTATAAAATACATAGATATTTTTTTCGTGATAAATATATTTTTGAGAATAAACATTACATATAAACAGCTCCCCCACAAGTCAGGAAATACTAGATCACACACAACAAATGCCGACTGGGATTTGGCCTTGAACCCAGAGCAAGGTCAGAACAACTGCAGAGGAATGCCCCACTTCTCTCAACAGCCCAAACATGAGCTGTGTGACCTTCACCCAAACTCCCTCAGTGAGCTGTTTGCACAGAAAGTAGAGATGTCAGAGATACTGGGAACTGACCTAACGATTCAAATGTAGGGGGGGTGTATATGTCTCCCTACTGCATCCACTTTTAACATGTGCAACTGTGTGTTCATGTTGGTTGAGTCCAAAAAGGAAACTTTCAAATCATTTCTAACAAACTGGTGTTACGAGTGGAGAACGCATGACAGAAGAAAATCAAAAGACGGGAACAAGGACACTAAAATACAGGCAAAGGACAACAAAGGAACTAATTTGGAATGACATTTAATTATAAACTAGAACCAGCAAAACAACAAGTTAACACAAAGTAAATCTAGAGGGGTTTTTTTGCAACTTAAACTTCTTATGCAAAAGCACCGTGAACTTGGACAAGCAAAAGTATAAAAATAAACATTATAATAATAATTGAAAATTTATAATGCGCCATTTCCATAAAAATGATCAACGGCGCAGTACAAGTACACATAAAAAAGTTTCCTTAATTAATTTAATTTAAGAAATGAAAGATAAGGATAAATGAATGAGAATAAATGAATGAATGTCACCGCGCTAGTACCCAAACTGCATTATGGGGATACGTCTGCCACGCCAACAGGGAGAACCTAACCCTGCTGGCATCGGTGTGTCTCGATCTTTCACGGGGACAGATGCCTCTAACCCTACCTACGATAATAGAAAAGTAATTATACCAGACACGGTGACACTAAAATAACGAATCACAGCTAAACCTACTTTTCAAAAAAATGTGGGAGTAAAGCTGATTACACACACAGCTCTCCCTGTCAATTTAGAAATGTCAATTTAGAAATGAATTGGAGATTACTAATCGGTCGATAATTTTCTAAAATCGGATCAAGGTTGTCTCTCTTCAACAAGGGACGCACCAAAGCTTCTTTCCAGTCCCTTGGAAATATACCAGATTCTAAGGAAGATTTGATAATACGGATAATAACCGGAAGCAAGACATCAATCAAGGCAATTGCTCACCAGCTTAGTAGGCACTGGATCCAGATCACATGATTTCTTTATGGACTTCACAAGTTCTACAACCTATGACCTAGTTAGTGGTTCAAATTGGTTTTTTGTTGTATGGTGACACAGCTTATCCACTGAGGAGAGAGGTGATCGTTGGATACAAGGGTGCCCAATGAACGGATGAGGAACATGAATTCAATGCTCAGAGGGCAAAGGTCCGCATTTCTGTGGAGTGGGGATGCGGGCAACTGATAGAAGAATGTAGGTTTTTAGACTTCAGGAAGAAGTTAAAGCTGCTTCTTCAGCCTGTGGGAATATATTACTTGGTCGCAGCACTTCTCATTAACTGCCATACCTGTCTGTATGGATCACCAACAGCAAACTACTTTGGTGTGATTCCTCCATCACTGCCTGAATATTTACAGAAGAAGATGGAGAGTACTACCAGCTACTGCATGAATTTGATTAGCCCATTAAGACTCCACTATCTTTGCATGTGTTGTGGTCGCTTTAAGCAAATCGTCAATATGCTTCTGAGTCCTTGGCTGGTTAGCATTTGTTTTGCTTAAAATAAAACATGTGAAGCTAATAGAAATAAAAATGATTTACCACAATTCAAGTTCATGTCCAAGTTTATCATGCAGTCCAACGCAAATACATATACTTGTAATTTATGGTGCCAAAATGATAAACCATCAGGCAACCATCACACACAACAGGTAATCATTAACAGGTAAAGAAAATGGCAAGTACTTTTGTACCTTGTGTATATTAAACAATTAAATTAAATCAATTGAAAACAATTGTCTGTCCTCATTTAATATTGCTCTGAGGTACTGAGGTGATTGACTGCTAAGGGAGGATGGGGGTGGGGAGCAATACAGGTCATGCTGCCACTCCCAAAAATTAGAAACAATTAGAAATTGAGTGGAAGGCGGTTTTGCCCTCATTTCATTCCTCTTCTTTCCAAAATAAAAAGCAATGGCAAATAGAAACATGAAAGATTTTTGCTCCATTTCAATTTCTCTTCAAAAAATTAATGAAAAAGAAAGGAAATGTTTTGCTCTTATTAATCTGTTGGTCCTTTTGAAAAACAAGAAATTCAAAGAGTAACCTCAACGACAGAAAGGCAAAAAAAGTCAGATTATTGGTTCTGGGTCTGCCCTTACTCATGGTCAGATTTGTTTGGGTTGACCAGCATCTGCAATCTTTGCACCTGTATTTCTGACTCTCGCCGTTGCTACTACAGTGCCTCTCAGAGTCTTTCTTTGCCTTTTTCTTCCAGCTGCCCCTTTTTTGCAGAATATCCACAAGAGGATCTACATGGGTCCAGTTTCTCTTCTTTGTCTTAGTTTTCCTGGCATTCTGCTCCTCTCCTATGGATGGAAAAAGAGGATTCAGTCAACACTGAGATACACACTATATACGAGAAATAAATGGCCCTAATTCATAGAGCTGCATTGCATAATTGTTTGCTAAATTTTGGCAAATGTAATACAAATCTAATTGGTCAAGTGGCTGTTTGAAACTGGGCCTGTAGTGGACAACTTTGACCTCCGACTTGCTCAAAATGCCCATTATTTTATTGCACACTCTTTACCGCTATCTAATGATGATCATGTACACCCATGTGACATTAAAATCCAGTCACAGGGGTGTGAATAACAACATGTAAACAGGGTAAAAGCTAGCAAAAAGCAGCAATTCCAAAAGTTGCCATATTTTTGTAAAAAACTTTCAGGTTTCAGAGTAACACTTTCAACCAAAAAGCTGAATTCTCACACCCCTGCAGTTAGCACTTACCCTCTGAGCCACTTCCACTTCCTTTCTGGGGGTCATCATCACTGCCTGTGTATGAAATATGGTATGTGGTGAGTACATGTACATGCATGAACCAGGTACTTGGACAAATGCGATTTTAGCTATTGCCAGTAACATAGTAGATAGGGGAGGGGTTAACAATGAATGGAACAAAGTGTACATACAACCTGGCAGTTAATGTGTTCAAAATGTATGGTACCAATGTCAATATTGAACTCACTGTCACCCTCTTGAAGTATTTGTTTCATCGCCTATTCTCGTATCTTCTTTCCTTCTTCTAGGTCTTGTAATGCCTTCACCTCCTTCTTGTTTCTTTTCTCGGCCTTGGCTTGAGCTGCTTCCTGGGTCTGGCTCTGTGTTGTAGCTTGTGTTTTAGCTGCTGCTTGTGCCTGAAAACAAAATGCTTGATACATGTATCACTGCATCATGACTGCAGGTATAAAACACTTGGAGAAACAGCATCCTGTAACAAGAAACTCTGGGCGACAGAAACAACTATGCAATTACCCTTAATTTTACCTTGACTGCCACTGCCTCGTAGTTCAGTAGCCTCCATTAGCAGAGCTGTTAGTTCAGTCTGTGGGTCATTCACACCAGACCTGGATGTTATAGGTGAGACTATCAAAGTTTGAGTGAATTTTTATGACGTGTTGTGCGAACATTCGGGGGATAGTTACTTCAACCAACTTCAACTGTTAAAAAGTGTCATTAATGAAGTTTGGTAAAACAACGCTGCTGTTACAAGAAGAAAAGTGGAAAGAGTGCCAAACCAAAGCCATACCTCAGTTTACTCACTTTTTCTTTGATAAAGCCTCATCCTTTTCAAACTTCTCCAGTATCAGCTCTGTCTGCTCCCTCACTATGTGTGCAGTTGCAGGTTTCTCTGGCTGCAGAGAAAATGTGAGGTTCTCTGCGACCTGATGCCATCTAGTTTCATCTAGAAGGGGTCATTGCTGTTCACCTCTTTCAGAAGGGCCACATCATATTTACGGTCTTTTGTACAAAAGCTAATGCTAATTCATTTTGGAGTCTCTGAAGTCATGATTAATGTCATCCAACTTTCACCCAATTCCTGAAATCAAATTTAATAGTAATTGACAATAAGTTCATTTGTGTAATTAAATAATGCAGTTCAGCTGCAGTTCACCCCATGCTTGCATACAGATGATAGTGTAGCTGCTGACCCTGTCACACAGTATAACAGAAAATTACATCATCAATTTGTCCCTTTTAGAAGAGAAATGTAGAAATGTACATGTACATGTGTACTTCCAAAATGTTTGACTGACCTACATAGGCCTAGGTGATGACAACATCATGTTGAAATTGAATCCCTCAAAACCTCACTTCACAAAAGTAAAATCTTGTAGATTAGCCCAATGGACTTCTTTAGCATAATCCTATAAAGACACAGGGGCGTTTATACTCTTTTTTGAGTTTGGAATTGATCTTGGTCTTTGGAATTGGTCTGTCATACTACTGTACATGTATGTTCATGGTTATAGCATGTAGGCTTGTTTACAGCATGTACCATGTCACGCATACATGTATATGAAGGAGAAAGCGTGACATTCCATCATGATTTGTGCACTTTCAGTCCTTTTTCTTCTCTATAAAACTAAACAGTTACAATTTTCAGAACATGAACTGTCAGCCAAATGTCTGTCAGTTGATATGTTTGCCAAATACGAAAGGAAATGTAGCTATAAAGATGACTTCAATACGTACGTGAAACGGCTTCTCTTCACATTCTAACAGTAACATGGCCATTGCTACGTGGAACTGGTGCCCATAAATTGATGACGTAATCAGCAAAATCTCGACTTCACGTTCATGGAGCGCAGAAGAGGCCTGCTGCTGAACCTCTCTAATACAGGTTTTTTAAACGTACGTAAATTCCAAACGTATTTTTTCAGGAAGACACAAAAGGATACAGATCAACTGGGATCGTAACACTCTCCCCTCCTTTAAAAAAGTTCGAACCACAGGAGAAATTTTTCTTTTGGAATATAACTAACATGTTTTAGAAGTTTGTACAAAGTATAAATTTCACATGGTTATCAAATATTGTCAATGTATTAAATTCTGTTTGACATTCACATACCAAAATCAGATAAAATTACATAATTTCATTACAGCAACATCTAATTAACTCTTGGTCCATCACTGAAACTAATAAGTAACACCTGGATAAAGTGTCTGCAATAACGTTGTCTTTCCCCTTTACATGTATATGACGGATCTCAACATGCTCAAGGGCAAATTCCTGAAGAGCCAGACAACCTTCGATTCTTTTTTTTTTATCCTGTTTAGAAAAGTCAAAGGGTTGTGATAGTATTGGTTGCCGACTCCAAATACACTTCAAAATGCTGCAAGGACGGAACTAATGCCAAAGTTTCTTTCTCGACTGTGGAGTACTTCGTCTGATGATGGTTCGACTTTTTTGACAGGTAACAGATTGGATGCATAATTCCATAATCATTATCCTGCAGGAGTACTGAACCTATTCCAACATCACTGGCATCTGTTGCTAGTGTGAAAGGTTTATCAAAGTTTGGAGCGGCAAGAACTGGTGCAGACATGAGTATGTTTTTTATCAGGTCAAAAGCTTGATTGCACTTATCACTCCAGATAAATTTTGCATTGTTAGCAAGCAAGTTTGTGAGTGGGGAAACAACATCTGAAAAATGATACCCAGCCATTCCAAAGAAATGCATCAACTCATTCTTGGTTCAAGGCTGAAGAAAGTGAGCAATACATGTAGCTTCAACCTTAGCATTTACTGGCTTTACTTCTCCTTGACCAACTTCGTGGCCCGGAAAGGTTATCTTTGCTTTCCCAATCTGACTCTTGGACAAGTTAACTGTGAACTTAGCTCAAGAAAGTCGATCGAACAGAGCTCTAGTACGTTCCATATGCTGTTTCCATGTATCACTATGTATAACAATGTCATCAATGTCATCCAGATTATAGGTCATTGTAAAGCAGAAATCATTTTGATTGCACCTTCAGAAAAAAAATATCAAAATATAAAAAAACAAAACTAAACAAGCAAAAAATAAACAGTTGCACTGAGCATCCTATTTTATGCTAATAAACGTCACATGTCAATATAGCCACCCTGTTTGCTGATGACTTTCAACAGTCTGCTGTCCACTGATTTTGTCAAATTGTTTATTGTTTCCTTCGAAACGTGCTGCTGCTTCCTTAATCGCATCCCACAATGCATCCTTGGAGTTGTATTGCTCCATTAGCATAAATTGTCTGCTTCAACACCGACCAGAGGTTCTCAATCGGATTTAAATCCGGTGAACAAGCAGGCCACTCCATGATCTGTTCCTGCTTGAATCCGTTGCACTCCATCCAGGCTTTTGTGTAATGGGATGCGCGCGAAGGTGCGTTATTGTGCATGAAAATCAGCAGCTTGCGTTGTCTGGCCGGATGCTTCTTCCACCATGGCACAAAGTTGGCATTCAAAAGATCACAATATCCTTCAGAGTTCAGTTTAACACCGTCCTCAACACGGAATGGTCCAATCATCTGATCTCCAACGATAGCAGCCCAAAACATAACTCCACCCCCAACTTCACCTTGTTGTCGACATAGTTGCATTGGTGCAGACTGCCCCTGAGTTACCCATCCTCTGGTCCATCCACTGTTCCTCTGCACTTGTCCGTGAAAATAACGCGTAAAAAGTCAATTTTCATGCGTTTGGCTTCGTGGTTTTTGTTGAGAGGTGGTCGTCTTTGAGCCTTTCGAACCTTGGCAACCTCCTTGAAGGCCTTACAGCATGTGGTTCTGGATACTTTGGGCAGTTCGCATGCTTCAAATACCTGTCTGCTGGTTGCTAGAGGATTTCTGGTAACCTGACAGCTAATCTGTCGAAGGTGCTGGGCATTGATTTTTTTATATTTTGATTGAACTCGCTTTTTTCGACCACTTTCGCTGTTTGCCACAATTTTTTTCACAGTACGTTGATCGCTGGAAAGGCACTTGGCAATATCCAATGTAGATTGGCCCTGTGAAAGCAACTGCACAATTTTTTGTTTTTCAGCAGGCTGGAGATCACCTTTTTTACCCATCTTTACTGTACAGTGGACTGTTGCATAATTACTCTGGACAGTGTTTTCTGAAAATAACTCACATTTGGACTTGTATCTCATGAGTTACAGACAATGCTTCTTCTATTGCAGTTCTCACATGTCCACTGAGGCATGGAGAGCAGTTGGGGCATTATGGAACACGTTGTGTTACTTCAACAAAAACACATACTTGCATAATAAGCTTGGACACATACTTGCATAATAAGTTTGGACACAGTGTATAATCAGCTGAAATGTGGCAGGGGCATTCATCACACCGAATGGGAAAACTTTATACTGATACACATGGAAGCCTTGTGGAGTAACAAAAGCTGAAATTTCCTTAACTCTTGTTGTCAATGGCACCTGCCAATATCCTGTGGGAACTTCATGCTAATTTCCACACAATAAGTATTCAAAGAATTGACTCACCGAAACTGGCGAAAGCTACATGTACTTGCTAGCGCTGAACTCTGCTCTGCTGACTGTGATTGTTCCAAGGCCAAGGATCAAGTGTTCTTCTTGCGAGACACATGTCTGCAGTGTGCAAAAAATGTGAGGCAAGATCGGCTGGGTGCTGGGTCGAATCCAGCTCAATGCTGCACTGCTACCGGTAGTTCACGTTTTCTAACAAGTTCAGAAAATATCCACAGGACACACAGAATATTCCTCTACATGCGGCACAAGAATAAGGCTAATTCCAAGGTGAAATATCTCCACTAAGTTTGATGAACATGCAAAAGAACTTCCACCATGAGGCAAAAGAGAGCGAGAGCAAATTCCAGTGTGAAAGTGTGCGTCTGTTCAGCACTTGCAAGTCAGGTCAGGTCACCGGGAATGCAAAAATATATACACGCACTGTTCGTGTGATTGACCTGTTGTATGGCGGGCCATATGGAACAAAGTTTGAATGGAGGGCAAAGCTAAACAAAATTCAATTTGTAAGGTGTTGCTACAGTAGCTCCCCCTAGATCATGAGGGAAGGAAATGATCGATCCTGTGGTGGACGTAATCTACATACTTGGCTGGACACTGCACATGTCGACCTGAGCGGGACCTACGTGACTCCGGGTGAATGAGAGTACTAGTGCACGTGATGACGTGGTGGGTCCGTCAGACGATGTCAGAGAACTTGGTGTTTGTGTGACGTGACCGGCCTTTGCAGTGGTCGGAGAGCTGCTGGAAGTTGGATTGGTTGGTGCAATTTGAGGGTTGATGCTTGGCTCGAGAAATGCCACTTTTAAGCAGTCGATTCTGACACTATCGTGGTTCCCATTGCGGTAAACAATGAAGAACTTGTCATCTCCACGAATTACCTCGATGGGGCCTTCATATGGGGGCTCCAGTGGATTCATCATCGAATCAACCCAAATGAACACATGTGTACATGTTGACAATTCTGAGTGCACATGAAATTGTCTGTGTTGGGCTCTGGGCTGTGTAGAATGCAAGTTGATCATATGTTGTTGCAATCGGTGAAGATAAATTCCTGGCTCAGAGTCACTGGTAACTCGGTGTGTGGTTACAAATTCTCCTACAAACCTAACGGAGGTACCAAAAACCAGCTCTGTGGCAGTACAGCCAAGGTCGGCCTTCACAGCAGTACGAATCCCAAGAGCTACGATGGGGAGTGTTTCAGTCCAACATTGGTTGTCATGAGCTTTCAGAGCTGATTTTCAGTTGCCAGTGAAAACGTTCCACGAGACCGCTGGAATCTGGGTGGTATGCTGTCGTCTGGCTTCGTCTGCATCCCAGAAGATCTGAAAGGGACTTGAACAATGCTGACTCAAACTGTCAATCATGATCAGTAGTAAAAGTAGATGGTGCTCTGAAAACTGCAACCCAATGTGACAAAAAGGCTCATGCAACAGTCTAGATTGTGATGTCTGCAGCTGGTATCGCCTCCAGCGTGTATAGTGATCAATACATGTCAGTACATGTAGATAAGTGTAACCCTCCGATGGAAGCAGCGGGCCGACCAGGTCAATATGAATATGACCAAAATGGGCATCTGGAGTCGAGAACGTGCCGAGAGGGAACATCGTGTGAGAATGTATCTCGGACCGTTGACTGGGAGACAAGATTTTGCTTATGTTCAGTGATCAGTGTTGATACCAGGCCAGATGAAACGTGCAGTAACTACATGTAACTTCTGCGTGGCTCCAGTATTCCAGGTTGAGACAAATCTTGAAGAACATTGAAGACCCATCGATGAAGTGTCTTCAGATGGAACGGACATGCAACCCCAGTAGAAAAGTCACACACGATCTCACAGTCCGAAGTGTGGAGGGGAACTGACACAAAACACAAAGATGAAGTGGTAGCTTTGAGTTGTTGACACTTTTCGTCTTTCCCCTGAGCACTGGCAATCTTGGCGAAATCAATCTGCGCTGAAGCTCTGACTGTGCTCACCCCGTAACAAGATAGGGTATCTGCTACACCTGTCCCACTAACATAGCGAATGTCCGTTGAGGTGACATATCTCCCAGGGAGGGTAGCAATCAGGAGATTTATTGAAGGAATAAGTTAATGGCTTGTGGTCTGTGTACATACAAAACTGTCTCCCTTCCACAAAGTGGCGTAAATGCCGGATCCCCAAATATACAGCCTGCAACTCACAACCAAAGGCGCTATACTTTGTCTCAGCTGTGGGTGCTTTGAGAAAAATGCAAGTGGTTCCCATGCACCATTGACGCACTGCTGCAGAATCCCCCAGCAGCAACATCTGATACATCAACGACGAGGGAGACTGGTGCAGAAGACTGAGGATTCACAAGAAGAGTTGCATTAGACAATACAGATTTACATGTAACCTGGACGAAAGCCTGGTGAGCTGTATCATCAAGTATGATGTCCTTCTTTTTCGTCCTGCTCTTAAGGATGTCTGTTAATGGCTGAACAATGTTGGTGCAATGGGGGACAAATCGTCGATAAAGTTGACGAGTCCCCTTTCACCTTATCATCCAGTGGTTGGATGCAGTGCTCATCTACATGTATGATGTGACCAAGGAATGTCTGAGATGAGGCACCAAATTGGCTCTTGGCAGGGTTGATGACCCAAAACTGAGACAGCCGTGCGAACAAAACTTGTTAATGTTCCTCATGGTCCTCGACTGTCTCACTCGCTACGAGAATATCATCAAAGTAGGCATAGACAAAACGTAGGCCACATAGTACCTTGTCAATAAATCTCTGAAAAGTTTGCGATGCATTATGCAGGCCAAAAGGCATGCGGGCAAACTCGTACGTGTACAACCCAAAAGAAGTCAGGTCAAGTCACCGCTGTTTGTGTGATTGACCTTTTGTATGGCAGGCCACATGGAACAAAGTTGGAGGGCGATGCTAAACAAAATTTGCTTTTTAAGGTGTCGCTATAATGCCTTTAACAGATCACACGCTGTATGTACTCACAAATTTATCATCACCAATCTTATCAATATAATCATCAACTCGCGAATGGATAAGTGTTCAGTTTTGTTATAGTATTAACATTCCTAAAATCAGTACAAAATCTTACAGATCCATCTGACTTGGGAACTGAAATGCATGGAGAGCTCGAAGAACCATTACACTCTTCAATAACAGGCCTTGAATTTCATTTTTTTAAGGCACTGCCATTTGGCATTGGTGGACTGGCTGAAATAAAGGGCAGTAATGCCAAACATGAGGGCATTAATGCATCAGCGTACCAAAGTTAAGGGCATTAATGCCATCCCAATTTTTTTTATATCACACGAAAATGTTTCAGGTCTCAGAAAAAGTAGGATACCCACAGAGCGCGCAGTATTAGACCAAAAAGTGCTCGGACAAAATGTAATAACACAATCAATGTTGTTCTGCCATTACCATCTTTGATCTGTCATATTATATAAAAGCTAGAGTTGTAACATGCAGTGTCAGGTGTCAAAATTCACCTTTTTCCTGGTCCTACCAGAACCGCACACGCAGCCACATTGAGCAATCCTTGTTTTTTATTTTTTTTTTTAGTTTGCCCATTCAGGCAGGCCATGTCGTAAATTTGCTTCTTTTCCTACCTCCATGATTTAAGTAAGGCCTACAGCATACATGCAGTATTTTATTTGGCCAAAAACATACATGTGATAGGCCTACATGTAGTTGTGCTGTGCATGCGATATGCCTCTCAAAAATTGGGTCAGTAGGTCAGAACTTTTTTTGTTTGAGGGCAATTTTGTGCTGATTGAATGGCATCAGTGGGGAGGAAAGCTTCCAAAAGTATCTCAAAAGTAATGAACACCTGTCTTAATCTCTGCAAAAATTTCTACATATGGCAATACACAAGAAAATTATGAAAAACTCACACAATCACGACGGCAATCATGAAGGCAAACCAGCCAACAAAGTCCGTGTAGGCCCTAATGCAGTAATCTGGTAATGGTGTAGGCTATTGCGTGGTAAGCGGGCGTGATTCATCTAGACCAGCGGGCGCTAAAATGAACAGAGCACCCTCAAATTTCTCATGAACGAGGAAAATACAGACATAAATAAGAAACCAATTTCTGTGAATTAACTTGCAGAAAACCTCCTACAACCATGCTGCAACATAACATTGATGTCTTTCTGGCCTGCAGCCGGCCTTTTGCATTCGCAAGCGTACGGCCAATGAAGAGTGTCTATGTACAGTACATGCAGTACATGTACAGTACAGACCAGTACTGGTTGCTACATCTGCATGACGCATTCTTTTGCATGGGTGCGGCGCAGCGGGAACCAGAGGAGCTTCGTTTGATGCATAGAGTTTCGTGCACGTGTTTTCACCACTGTGACAGTGCGCGAAGAATTATGGGGCGATTTGTGCGAGTGAATACATGCGCGGCGGGCACGGTGTGGTCGAATGTGAGCGATCAAGGAACGATGTATATGCCACTTTCCATGTGTCTCACGGAACAGGGCAGTCGGTACGTGCGGAGAACGCATGGCAGAAGAAAATCAAAAGATGGGAACAAGAACACTAAAATACAGGCAAAGGACAACAAAGGAACTAATTTGAAATAACATTTAATTATAAACTTGAACCAGCAAAGCAATAAGTTAACCCTAACCCCAGCCCTGATTTTCCTGCTCAAAGCCAGAATCCTCCCAAATCTTTCAATTCTGGACTGCAAAAACTAGAAGTAACCAAAATCCTGCAAAATCTTCCAATTATCACTGCCGAGTATCACAGCTAAAATCTGGCAAAATCCTCCAATTATCACTGCCAAGTATCACAGCTAAAATCTGGCAAAATCCTCCAATTATCACTGCCGAGTATCACAGCTAAAATCCCGCAAATTCCTCCAGTAGGTTTACAATCACTATTATGCCAAATCGTGAAAAGGGCAAGAATGTCTATTGTTACACCTTCTCGGAAATGGGTATGGATTTAGAAAACGACAGAAATTCTGAAATGTACCCTTACACTTTTGGTGGCACTATGAATAAACAAAACTCATTGAGCGCATCACTGGGGAAAGTTGCCTGTCTGTCCACTGCCGATATTTAGCAGCTGTGGTCTGCTGACTCCAGTGGGTCACTTGCCCTTTATCACATGGCTCATGTTTTGGCTTGCACAGAGCCACTCAAAAAAATCACCACGAACACCACAGATAAAGAGGTGGTTTCAGTATGCCCTGCTTGATTGAGCGAGCTACCGAGCCCTGGTGAATATCAGGGGCATACATGTACATGTAAGTGGTTTACCACACACAGAAAAGTTTTCAGAGCCCTTAGGAAGTACATGTACAATAAATGTACCAAAATCTAGTCTGTACCAAAAACTACCAAAATCAAAATCCCAGTAACCAAATTCCTCCAGAATCCTCATGTGGTACCTTGGACCAGACACCCAATTTCCTCCCAAATCCTCATGTGGTACGCTGAGCCTGAGAGCCAGATTCCTCCATATTCCTCCAAGAGTCAAAACTCCATGTAACCAAATTCCTGCCAAATCCTCCGATGGTTCAACTGCCAAGTACCCAGAATCCTCCGAATTTCTTTCCTTTGCAGGAAAGAATTTTGGATGATTCTGGCAGGTTAGGGTTAAAGCAAAGTAAATCTACTGTTTTTTTGCAAATAAACTTCTCGTGCAAAAACACCGTGAATTTGGACAAGCAAAAGCATAAATGTAAACATACACATTAGCACAGCCAAGCACAATTCTACAATGAAAATAAGCAAGCCGGCAAAACATGTTAATGCACAGATAGGCAAATTATATTCGGCCGCGCATAGTTACCTTAATACACAAGACAGAGAAAATGAGGTCCCCCCCAGTCAGTACCATGGCTAAAACAGCACAGCCAAGGAGGGCCAAGCACCTCCACACCCTGGGCCAGAACAGTCCAGCTCAGACAGGTAGGTCGGTGTCGGTCCTCGAGATTTGGCTTCTGCATGGAGCTAGACACTCAGGGTCCCGTCCCACAGTGGTGTCGGCCTCGGCCACGGTCCAACGATGAAGAGGAGAAGACGACATGGAGGTGCTGACCAAACGCTGGCTATTTTGGAATGCACATGCTAAGAGCATATAGGCACTGACTGAGAACGAAACTAATGTCTACGGAGTCTTTTACTGGTTTTTAAATTGTGCGTTAATTCCACACGTACCTTTTTGGAGAGACACAAAAGGATTGGGATCAACTGGGATTGTAACACTGGACTGATATGACCCACTTTTAGGCTGGCAATGTATGTCAATATATTCTGCAGAGAATTTGGGGGTAAACTTCTGGCAAACCCTTTTTTTCACAACACAGTGATGATAATATGTTTTTGTAGTAACCTACATGTACACAATGGAGAATTACTGCTTCCTGCTACACTTAAGAAAACCATGCCTCTAGTGTACGCTATCTAGTGTATGTACATGTACATGGAAGTTTGTATCAGTATGATAATAAATTACACCTAAAAGGTTTTAAGTCAACATATTTCAGATTACATGTATACGACCCACCTTGCAATTCTGTCTTTCCTTATAACAGCTCCAGTGAGTTTCATGGCTTTGCGACTGTTAGGATGCAGTATTTTCACCCGGTGGACCTTCCTTACACCTGCTTTAGGCTGGTAAAATAAAAAAGTTGTAATGCTGAATAGTAATACATGAATTCCATTTCATTTAGAAAATGGTACAAGTACTATAGTATAGCAATGCACACACTATACCATTTTACTAGGTGCCTGATCAGTGATCCCACTGTATTCTATTTGAATACCATCTACAGATGCTTGTTTTTATGTATAAAGGCCTATGCCATGTCCTTTTGTTAATGGGGAAGCAGCAAATCAGCAAGCTGTTTTACATGTTGAATTCGAGGAAAATCTAATTTTGCAATTTTGGGTATGGTCCAAAGGGCACTTGCATCATTGATTACTCAACCAGAGTTCATGAGTATACACGGAACTTCCAAAACCATGTCACAGTTTCTGTCATGAGCTTTTCCTTTCATTGTATGGTTTTCAGGGAGGCCTGGTTTGTGTATTAAACAACCACATTTTAGTAATTTTGTGCGGATCAACACACTAGCTGTACAGTTGCCCCTCCTTGAACTTAGATGACAGTGATCAATGACGATGGCTATCAAGACAAATACTGTACCCTGGTTTGCATTCTGTTAGCTCAAACAATGAGACCTAGTGAATGAAATGTTAGGTGTGTTATGTTCCATCAATGTATCTGGACAGAGAAGATCTGCAGAACTCTGCAGCTTTCTACATGTAGGTTGTGTTAACTGCATATCGGAGAGAAAATGCACATGTTGAAAAAAGGAAACAATGCATTGACCCCTTCCTTCTTATAAAACTTAATTCTTTGGAAATACCTGTTGGCCTACCAAACTAACATGAAGGGAAATTATCGGTAGGAGACAGAAGACCATGAATAGGAATGTTATGATAGTCATCCAAGAAGCGACAAGAGGTCAACACTTTTTGTTATTATTTTGCAAGGAAAAAAGTATGTCTTAAAATTAATGTCAAACACATCACATTACTTGGAGCGGCCTTTGTAGAACATGACACCTCCCCCCACTCTGAAGTGCTGTTATTTACCGTACAAGGACCACATGTACTGAAAAAAAAAACACAAGCCTGTCTCTGGCATACATGTATGTAAATGTAGCCTCGCTCAGAAATGAACACAGTATAATTTATACATATACCATGATTTGTGTCCTTGTGTCATGGTTACTAGGTGAGGCATTCTGGATCAAAATGCTACGTTACATGTACATGTACTCCTGTATGTGCTCCGACTGCATTTCAGTATTTTATTGATGAACAATTGAATAAAAAGGGCCTCAAACAATCAAATCTTGGGCAACCATCATATTCTTTGTGGCATTTGTACTTTTTCCAGCTTCTCCTACTGGTATCATGTGGGTTAAATATGGACTATTTCCTGTAATGGAACTTAGAGATTGAAAGTGCCCTGATCACTGTACTTCGCGCGTAATGCACATTATGTGCCACGCTTGGCTGGGATCACAGCACTGCATAATTCATGTTTCACGCTGACATCATATGACCCAGGGAGCCAAATGGTGATGCAAGTTAGGCGATGAGAATAGAAGTTGTGGATTTGCATCCTTTCAATTTCAAAAATACATAAGGCATTTTTTTTCATTATTTTATTTCAACATCCAGGTACAGGCACTTTTCAAGTATGCTGAGGGATGAGCTACATGTACATGTATGCCTCTCATCAATTCATGGATCAGGTAAGATAGGAATCATCACAACAAAACACACCTGTAGTAAAACATACATGTACATGATAAAAGTGCATGCCAATCCAATGCACATGGGTCGGCCATAGCTCAAGCAGACATCTGGACATGTACTATACATTTACCAGGGTTGAGATAGCAGACGTGCCAATTTTAAAAATTCCAATGCAGGAGATTGTTTTGTCCGACTGAAACCCACATCCATTATAATGCATAATCATATCGTGACATCATAATTTGAATAAAATATTCATCAAAACCAAATGAAAGTTAATGCATGAAATACTTGGGATCTCTTCAGGGCTTGTTATAATTCTTTTTAAAAAATCGCAAAACTACATCACATCGCGATATATATGTTTTCAACTGTGTTGTAACAATGATCTATTTATGCTGCATCTGGATCTGTTGTTTAGACCTAGGTCTAGGTCTTCGTTCTACATGGAGATGCCGAGTAATAAGACCTAGCCGAAGCTCTAGAAGCCGGTTTCGGAGACGGCCTACATGTGGCGTGAGTCATCAGTAATGCATAAAGAAACTGAACTATGAAAATCTCCTATACTTTTGTACACAGCCAGTGAGGGAAACAAGCTGAAATCCAAAACAAAAAAAGCTGAAATCAGCTGAATAGCTAAGAAATCTCAACCCTGATGTACATGACGTACGGAAGCCATCTAGATAATATGGTTTTTTACACAGCTTCTAGAAGATTTGAAACGCTTGGTTTTGTGATTTTGTGTCTTTTTTTTTACCAATAATGAACTTTTTTGTAAATAATGATTTTGGGGGCCGTGGTGTTGGGCCATGGGGGCGGTGGACACAAAACTACAACTTCTATTCTCATGGACTTATCAACATAAGAGAACCTTTTTCCGGTAGTGATAGGTCTACTGTTTCTCTACCTTGTCTTACCGCCAAGTGCAATCTTGACTCTAGTACAAAATCATTGTAGGGCCTACTCCCTAATGCAATGAGTCAATTATCCTATGAATGGATTTCATTCTAAGGCAATTCAACTCAGGGTGGAATTCAATAAATTTGCCCACTATTCAAAATTACACTGAAAAATACTACCGGTAGGCTTTCATTACCCCCAGAACGTGGACCTTGGCCTACATGTACATATGTACATGTACTTCCAGGACTGTAAGGTAAACCTCTCAGATAAGCATGTACAAACTCCCATAAACACATTTTGGCTGTTTTGATTGTGCCAACTTATCATACACTTCCATCACAGCAATTTGTGCAACCAAATTTCACACACACACGTTCTTCATGAAGTTGGATGTCCGATGGGGAGAATTATTCACCCTTATTCCTCATAAAAATGGTGAAATTCTTGAGCATTTTGCAGAAGATGAGAAGCATGTACTCTCAATAACTGTCCGCTGTGTGATAGCTTGACCAACCCAACACAGCTCCTATCTTTTCCTTATGTATTCCTTACCCTATCCAAAGGAAAGCTGAGCTATGATTGGTCACTGGAATGGAAGCAAATTGGACCAATCACACTGCGGCTTTCATCTGTGGGTGACAGCAAAACAAAAGGAAAAGACAGGGGGTTCATTACCATGAGCACCCTGTTCCTATAATAAGGAAACAAAGTCCACTTCATCAAACTAACATTTTTGACCTTAAGGAATCTTACTCAATCCTGATAGGCCTAGTTTAGGTAAATTTTGACAATATGTAAGCAAGAAAACTTCAAATTTCTAACCCAAGTTTGGCAAAAGAAAACCACAAAGTCGAATCACGCCATTTTGTTTTTCGTCTGGTTACCTGACTCAGGCATTTGGGATTCATAAAAAATTTCCATGCAAGTCAAGGAACCAGACTACATTCGCTTGTTTGTCGATCACAGATCTCTTCGGAGAGGTCATGTACGCTGCCATTTTCCTGCAAAATTTCCCCCCAAAAGCACTGTTCTCTTTTCTCTTTAAAATGAAAGAGGACATCACCAGCAACTTGTTTAGATAAATAGTTTTGAAAAATTAGAGTTTCTTCCCTTATAATAGGAACAGGGTGCTAAACGTAATGAACCCCAAAGATAGGAGCTTTGTTGTGACTGGTCAAGCTATCACACAGCCAACAGTCATTGAGAAGGCGTTCTGCTGATTTTCTGTAGTATGGATCCATGCTCAAGAATTTCACCATTTTAATAAACCTCCTCATCTTACACATTGTACATGTACATGTAACTTCACCAAAAAGGCATAGGCATATATCATATTTAGTTGCACAAACAGCTGTGATGAAAAAGTAAGTTAGCACAATCAAAACAGCAAAAATGTGTGGCATAAATGTTGCAACCTGACGCCACTTTCAAAACAGATTTGTTTCTTTTTTTTGTGCTTATACATGAACCTTGTTTCTCATGGGGTCTATTTCATGTGGGCACTGTAAGAAATATGTGAACAAAGCATTTCAGATAGATTTGTAGGCAGAAATCTGGCTGACTTTGTGCAATTTTGGCTTTCGACGTCTATCCGCCATGATAAATAGGAGGCCAGCACCTGACGTGATTGATGAAGGTGAAAACATGCGCAGAAGTGCTATACAGTGGTAATTAACATGTTCAGACAATTCCACGAAGACACGACAGGACTAGCCCTAATTATTCATACGTCAGCATAAATTATGTAAAATACTTATGAATGATGAGTGATTCATTGTGACCCCTTTTTTACCTCGCCTTCATTCATTGGGTGCCTTAAATATATCTACCGAAAACGTTTGGGCAACAAGCACTCGTAATCGAGCGGATAAGACCATGCATTTATTAATCGTCAGTGTTTCTTCCCAAAGTTGCCGACCCAGGTTCAAGCCCAAGCAAGGATCCCTCATCGACTACAACATGGAATTTCTGACTAGGACTAGGCCTACTTCATCATTATAGCAATACATGTACATCATGCAGCCTAGATTAAGATCAGTGAGGACAGAGAGACAGATTGGAATGCAAGAAGAGAAGCCCCGTTTTAAACTTGTTGGGGGTTCAAAATTTGTTGTCAAAAGTGGCGTCAGGATGTAACATTTTCCAAATGTGTTTATAGGAGTCTGTACGTGGCTATCTAGACGTACCCTTGGCTATATACATGTATGTATGTGGTCATGTTGGTGGTTCGCTCTCCTGTTCCTGCGCACCGCCTGCGGCGGACGACGAACCACATAGGGCCAATCTCACAGTTCTAGGGGTACGATAAAGGCTTTCATACCATTTCATATGCAGAAATATTTTCACAGGCTACTTCACAGCATATATAGGAAAACCAAATCTCCTCAAACTGGTGGTTTCAATTGGTGTGATGTTTCCCGAGGCTCTGGATGCTTTGACGAGTTGGACTGCAAAATCGAACCTAAATAGCGCCACCTGTTGACTCTCGTGAAGCGGTTGGCCTCCTTTGTTTTTTTTACTGGGAAGTCAATTAGTATGAGTTCGGGCGGCTTGTTCCCGTATGTTCACGAACAGCTCGATTTGTTGTTCGTGGGTCGGCCCTTCGAAAGCCGGGAACAAACAACCGGTTATCACAAACATGCAACATGGCGGCTTCCATGTACGTTATTTGAGAGTTAGGGTTTGGATGGGCTGAATTCTTTTCTATATAAACAGGAACATTCATTTCTGTGTTACGGAAAATAATTAATGTTAATTTTGCAAAACTACGCCTTGTCTACATGGTCCGTGGCTTTGGAAACCATCTCTCTGCTTTTTGCAGATGTTCAAGAATCAAGGTCTCACAAGTTTTTCCCTGTGTTCCTGTAAAACCCTGACGAGGAGGTGGTGTGTGATACTGTTCCGAGAACAGTATTCTTGAGTCATGTTCCCGGCGCCGTTCGCCGAGCGCGAGAACTTGACAAGAAACCCGTGTCACCAGAACAGGCCGCCCGAACTCGACCTGAGGTCAGATTGTGGCTGGAAGACCACTTATTCTGTAAACAAACAGAGAAATCAAACATCTTCTGCAAAATTGTGGGACACATGAAAAAAAAACTACCACAAAGATAGGACGAGCAGACGGAATTGTTGATTGGACCTCTCTAATTTCTGTTTCCCCGGCATCGGGGGGGGGGGCTTTTTGGTAGAAAAAAATGGGGAAATTTCAGGGCCATAGGACATTTAGCCAACCCTCCAAGAGACATGGTGTACATTCCTTTGATCTTTGGCTATAATCGTTACTGTTTTGATAACTTCCACAGACAAAACAGCCCAAACTAAAAAAGCATACCAAAGTACGGGCCTAGGCCTATAGAAAATAGTGCAAACTTTGAATCGGACCGAAACAGCACCCCCTGTCGACTCTCGTGAAGAGATTGGCCTTCTAGATTATGGCCTGAAGATCAGTTTTCGTTTCAATTTCATGGGGCCAGGGGTTAGCCACAAATTTCTTTTACATTTGCCTTTCAAGGAAGGCACCCTAAAAATAGCAGTAAACCTGAGCGTTCATGAATGTAGCCACCCGCCTCTATCCAAAATTTGGGGCTTTTTGTGAAAGAAAATATATCCCGAACTGGAAACTATCAGTCCCAAATTTGGGATTTATAGAAATATTTCTATGATCCTATCGGATTATGGTCTGTCTTATTGTGAGAATCCCGTGGGATCACAAAATATTCATCAGCTCGTGCGCAGAAATACACCCAGTTGGTGGAATGGGTTGTAGGTCTACTCGACCGTTTGCCAACTCGACTCGAGTCAACTCGACTCCTGAACAATTCGACCGTCGACCAACTCGACCATTAACCAACTCAATGAACCCACTGAATCAACTGAAATGCAATCACTGAACTTGTGCCAATGAGGTTTACCAAAATCATTTTCCCAATTTGAGAAGCACGCACGCACGCACAGACCCCGAAATCTGTCACCATACTGTGCGCATGCACATGGTCACATCACACACAATAAAGCGACTTACACGCGCGATCCAAAACTAGGAAAAATGCGTTCTTCTATGCCCTGTTCCCGTTGCACCGTTTGCACGGTCGAATTGGTCGAGAGTCGAGTTGGCAAACCGGTCGAGTTGACCTGACACCGCGGAATGCACCCCTAAGGGTGCACCGCAGCAAATAAATGCCCATAGACAGCAGTGATAAATACTTCACAAATGTTTTAAAAATACAACTCTCACAGGTGTTCAGGCTGCACAGAAAAAGGATGTTCCACATGCTCTCTTTCATTTTCCTTTCAATTCTTAGTGGGTTGACCACTGAATTTTTGAGAAATTCTCACTCAAAGCAGACCACCCCTAAAAATTTCACTGCCTGGAAAAGTTGCAATTTTGAAAATGCATCCTTCCGCAAAATGGCTCAATAGTGCTACTTTTGGACCCGATTGCTTTCAAATTGCTCAGAATTTGAAGCCCTGAGTCCGGCCCAGCGTCCTATTTTTTCAATTACTCAGTTCCATGGCTCTAAGGACCCTCTAAATAATTATATTACATTTTGAGTGTATAACTTTTATAAATGAGCTGGGCTATACGTGGGTGCATCCCTATGGTATTCGGTGTAGTGCAACCTGTAAACTTGAAGACAAAATGGCAGTGCCCTACACTGTTAAAAATTCCTCCTTAAAAAAACAGAAAGGTGCCTGCAGCAGAGTCACGAGAACTCCTGTAATTTTAATGCATAGAGAACTCCCAAAAGAGAGCCCCGAACAAAGAAAATTCCCCAAATCATCAAAAATTAACCCATTTAACATTCTCATTAAAGTGCCGCAAAAACAAGTGAATGCAGACGTCATGGACAGAATGAGTGCCTAAAACCGAAATTTTAGTCACTCCCGACCACCATTATGACCACAAAGTGAGCCCGTGCGAAGTCTGCGCGGTGTTCCGCTGTAGGCTATTGTATTTCCATTTGACAAATGGTGGTAAGATGTACGGGGGAAAAGACAGTCTATGAATGAAGATTTGACATCCTTTTTTCATTTAAGGACAGTTTCTTGCAGTTCCTAGCATTGATATCTTAACAAAAATAAGACGTGATTGGCACACACACTACAGACATTTACAGTACATGTAGGTCTGGTACAGCACATTCAGGATTTCGTGAGGGATTCACTTGACCATATCCATGCTCTTCTTCCATCCAACAAAAATCTTCTACGCTGGTGATAACCGGTCATATCTGTTTTGAATCCCACATATATTTAATCACAACTTGGTCTCTGCGACCTGATTGAGAGAGATTTCGACATTTTGATCTTAGGCCTACCCACCTGAAACACAGCGGCAAACGTCACAAGGTGTGCGTGAGGCGAGGCGGCCGGTTGCGCTTAAAGAATCATAAAATTAACGTAAGAAATAAAAACAGATCTTTCATTTATGTGATTCCTTTCACCCGCAAAGCACTGTAGCAAACTACAGAAAGTTATTATTTGGGGTATGACAGAAAAATAGATTCTTGGAAAAAACCCGAATTGTAAAAATTATTTTCATTTTCTTTCTTTTAATTGAGAATGTTTATTAAAAGGAAAGTCTGAAATTAACAAATTTCCCGTTAAATAACATAAAATACTACATTTCAAGTAAAATAAATGAAAAATTAGATTGAAACCAGTCGTTTCGTTGCTGTCAGAATTTTTGCTTTAAATAACAGCATTTCTAGTAGAATAAATGAAAATTCTGTTGAAAGCCAGTTATTTCGTTTCTTTCAGAAGTTTCTCTGTAAAATTACAGGTTGTCTGCGACTAAATTTATTTCCAAAACAATGTCGTAAGAAAACAGATCTTTTATTTAAAACGAGGATTCATTTAAATTCACGAAGAACACTGAAATTACAGAACATCGGTATATGGGGTCTGAAATTATACGAAATGTCTTGAAAACAATAACAAAATAATGTTTTTAGAAATGTGTTATTGCAGAAAATTTCGAGTTACAACAATTTAAAGAGTGATTCTGTAATTTTGTTTTTCTGTAAAATGCTCTGTTTTTTTAACAGTGTAGGCAACAGACCAAAAGGGCGCCCTGTTCGGTTTTTGTGCTTTTTCATTCACGGCCGGAGAAAATCAGTAGTTTTATCTGTGGCAGTCGTCAAAAAAGTAAAGAATACAGCCAAATCAGAGGAATGTACACCGTGTCTCTTTGGAGGAGCTCGTTGACTATTCTGTCTAATAATAACTGGAAGAGGGCCTGACCCCGTTTTTTTCTTCCAAAAAAGCTCCCCCTGGACGCCAGGAGAACGGAAGTTGGAAAGTTATTATTCTGTCTGTTTGCCCTCTTTCTGGTAGTTTTTCTTCTCCGTGTCCCGCAGTTTTGCAGATGTTTGATTTTCCCGTTTTTTTCACTGAATATGATTGTCACTGCGCACAAAACACTGCCGCATTCAGTGGCAACGGACAAACTGTATTCTTTTTTCGGAAAAACATGAAGGGGCATTCAATTTTTGGGATTGAATTTTTTATTCTGGATAGATTTCCTTCATTTTGAGCCCCATTTTTATTTACCACGAAACCGGCAATCGAGGTGATATTGAAGGGTGCATGGTCGTATTTCTGCGCGCAAGCTCATTAATATTTTTGATCCCACGGCGTTTTTACAATAAGGCATGCCATAATCAGGATTAGCAGAGAAAGGCCGATACCATACAAATTTTAAAACCTGAAAAACCTCAACTCCTCTCTCTCACTCTCTCTTTTTTTAAAATGAAAAATATGAAATTCCATTTTCGCGAACCTACTTGAATACATAAAGATGGTAGCCACACACGCTGCTTAGTCATTATAAAGATTTGACCGACACTGGCGAGCTAAAACAGATATCCAACAAAGACATAGCATCTGCTTGATGACACAGACGAAAAACAGTCCAGAAAAGTGTTTAAATAAAGTAAACTCCTTCTCTCAATTGCTCAGGAAAGAGGTTAAATAAAAATGAAGATAATTGTGTATTAAACGCATACCAAAAACAACATGCCACCGAATCGCAACGTCAGATTAGAATATATACATAATCCTTATAGGTACTATTCTTGGGGAAAAAAACATTTTCATTGGAATATATGCAACGACATAACGTTCCTTTACCTGCGCCGCAGAGGCCTGAACGGCATACGCGCAAGGAATACACACAAGCGATCAAAGAGTATAGAGTACCAAAGTGAATACGTCACGCGCACAACTAGTGTGTATAAGGCATTAGCGCGAGAACCAGCGAGTGAACCAACACGCGCGCGCACTCTATTCGTTTGCACAGCACTTTCCGGTTCACAGTGACGTCACACCTCGGTGGTTGTTAGCAAAGATTGTATAGCGCCGCGCAGCGGCGCAAGATGGGGAACTGACCATCCCGCACGTGTTAATTTCATGGAGGTCACGATCCGCCATTTTCGTGTGCAAATTGCAAGTTGTTTGTACACGCGACATATGG